TCCTCACATGATCTCCTCCATATCACCCTCAGTTGGAACGTCCAACTCATCGTTTCCCCTTTAGGTTCCACTCGAGTGCCTGGCCTGGCACGTGACGTCCCCGAATAGTCTTCTCAGTGCATGCCCAATCCATCTCCACTTCCTTCCAGTGCATATTTGTTGGGTGATAGGTTGTTGGTTGGTTCGTTGCCAGACCAGAGTTCCTTGTTGCTTATTCTTTCTGGCCATTTAACCTTCAGTATCGAGCGTAGGCGGCAGCTGTTGATGAATGTCTGTGGTTTGTTGAAAGTGTTCTTTGTGACGCGCCAAGTCTCTGAACCATACAGAAGCACTGATTTCACGTTGGTGTTGAAAATCCGGATGTTGTTCCAGATGCTGAGTGCAGTGCAGTGTATCTCCACACTGGTTTCATTTTAATGAACACCTGTCTTGCTGTCTTTCCGATCCTGGCTTTGACGTCCCCGTCTGTGCCGCCACCTGTAGTTGAAACAGTGCTGCCTGGATGGATAGGTGAAGGAGACTACTTCTTTTAAGTTTCTCCCGTTGATGGTGATTGGAGTTTGTTTTTGTTGGTGTTGTTCATTGGGTATCTTCATCACCCATGTCTTCTCTATATTCACTTGAAGTCCTGTATTCGCTGCCTCTTCTGACAACTTGTTAGTAAATACAAACTGTAAATGAATTACTACTTTTTTATAAACAAGAAAAAAGACCTGTAAGTAGAATACTTGAAAAAGTAGGTACTTTTGCTGCCGAAATGACGAAGAAGATTAAGAAGGCAAATGTGCATAGCAGCAGTTTTCTTGGAGATGGTGAATCAAAACTAGATCAAACCTAGTTTCACCGGAAACTTGTAGTTCGTAATGACTACTATGATTTGACGATCACTGTTGCCAGTTATCATAAGTAACATCTGACATCATTAAAAGTAATGATTATGGTGAAATCAATCATTTTCTACCAGGATTATAAGCCTCATTGATCTCTAAGGTGGTCGTTGTCAAGATACTTCTCAGTGCTGACTGAGTTATTTAGGTAAACTCGGGAGTGTTATTATCAAGCGAAATACTACCCTACTAGCTCTCAAGCGATGAGAACCAACAAACAGAAAGATCCACCTATGCTCTTTACTATGGTTCAGGTTTAATTTCAAACAAACCGATTCCATTTCATGTGACACCACAGCCATATCCTGTGTAGCCTAGTTTTTACATAATAGGAATAGTGATAAGATATTTACGGTTATTTAGGATAAAAAAACACCATTTACTCTTTTGTTATATACGGCTGTATGTGATTCAGTAACGAAGATAATTAAGTACGGTCAGAATAAATTACTGCCCACGTTTTTAACTTCATGCGTACTTGATGTGTGTTTCGGATGACTCTAACCACGAGAAGCAGCCAGAAAGAAAATCATGCTGAACATAATTACTTGCTAGTTACCTTCAGGCGCTGAACACTACGTATTACGAGTGAAGAGTCACTGAACACCTGAGTTGTAATAAATCAATAGCTATTTTTGAACACAATTTAGGGCAGATTCGTCAGATGTAATCTACTTCAGCAAGTGGAGTTGGGAGTAAAGTCGTTTGTTTGTTTAGGGCAATGAAGTAATTGAGTGTGTTGACTTGTTGCCCTATCTCAACTTGATGAAGCTTTATGGCGGTGCTAAATGAAGCGGAACCTGGAAGCTGTTGGATAAGCGCTTACCAATCCTGGTAAAGAATCATTTTTCTGTTCTTTCTATGTGCTTACAACCAAATATGCATGTGAATTGATAAATGCAGTTGGAGTTGATGAGAATTGGAAAGTGGTTCAATTGCAACAGTGTATTTGAACGTGACATTTGACATAGTGAGACAGGTTTTGCAGATAGGTAAGTGCTAGGGTATATACTTATAGTCTACTTGCTGATTCTTTTCTCCACACCGTTAGTTTTAAATCGCAGCCTTGGGAATCAAGGTTCATTTTCTGCAGTGCAAATTGTTTTTTTTTTTATAATTCTTACTTCTATGTTACTTCTGTACCAATATTACGGGATATCCGTCGTCAGTAATACTTTGTTCAATCAGCTTCATTTCAACTTTAAGCCTTTCTTTAGACCACACTTATTCTTTTCTCTGACATGATATTCTCACCTAGACTCACTTGTGGTTTACTGGGGAAAAAAAAGCTTTAATAGTTCATGTAGTCTTATGGTGAATGCTCTTATCAGCTGTCTCCCGGTTTGCACTCCATTCAAACTTATATAAAGTGTAACTACTGTTCCTGCAAACGTCCAGTTGTGAATTTAATACTATGTTGGGAATTGTTAGACTCGTTAATAAGCGTTGTTACTTGTTGAAAGTTGTTGCATGCAACAAAAATATTATTAATGTAACTTGAATAAAATAAACATTGACTGCAACCTTTAACATAGTATCTGTTATGTGTGAAGTGATGTCAACCGCTTCCTGAAACAAGGGGATTACCCATCCATATTCCACCAACTTGTCTGGGCAGAACTTTCTAGAATTGAGACTGACCTCTGCTGTACACATGAAAAGTTTTAGCTGTCATCTGGGTAATACGATATCTGTTGTTTATTGGCTGATTATGTTTTTGGTTTCAAGAAGGGATATGCTTAGGAATGATGGCGTAAAGTAGCATGATCCCATGAACTTATTCTATACTTTCGAGCAATTTTATGCTCTCAATGAATTCAGATAAGTCTTTCAGAGTACGTATTAATCTTTTTTCGAACCATCTTCAGCTTCTGAACCAACCAGCGACAAATCTTTCTGATATGAAAAGTTTAAAAAGTATGAAAATTTGTCTTACAGGTACGTAAGTCTTATATCCCTTTGGTTGTCCACCAATCACAGAGAGATGTCTAGGTCTTGGCTTATTATATGTTTCATTGTCGATAAGATTCTTTTCACTTGTCTCAGCTCTTTGTTAATTCTTGTTTAACAGCTTCAATTATATGTTTCTGTCGGTAAGTACTACTTTTGGAATTGCGAGGCATCATCAAGCATTAGGTTCATCTGGTACAAAGAATCTCCGTTGTTTAGTGAGTCTAAGCGCATAAATTCTCACCTATCAGTGATGTTATTTACAAGTGTAACAGACTGGTTTAAGGTAAAATCTGCAAAACAAAGCCAGATACCACTCGTGCCTTAACATTAATTAGGCTGTGGACTTATTCTTCACTGTGTAGTCTTATCTGTTCGGAGGAATTATTACCCTAGAACTGTAACCATTCTACACTGATACAAGATATATATTGAACCCTTCTTCTAATAAAATCAGGCTATCAAAAAAAAAACAGAATCAATACTGTGAAAAATAAATCAAAAAGATATACTATTTCTTTAATATGATTATGAGTAATAAATTGTGTGATACACCCGATAAATGGAGTGAAATTGTATGATTATTTTGATTGTTGTTCCTGTTTCTGTTCAAACGCTGCTAATATAATGAAGCGAAAAAATAGCACTTGACATAAATTGTTTTTAGACAGAATTATGGACTAATTTCTTCGAATTCTCCTCTTTTTCTTAATTTCATCTGTGTAATTAAAGCATATATGCAATTATACACCTAAATATGTATAAATTATATAGTGCGGACTCTACAATGTCTGGTAAATGCGAATCCAATAATTGCATAGAGTAGTTGGTATAAGAAGAAGGAGAGAAAAACAGAGAGGATGACAACAGTTTCCCCTCTTTTTGTTTACTTACACGTATATCATTCACCTAACTTGTAGCTTCATCTCTAAACTCCTCTCTAGGTTCTTGTATTCCTTCACCTATCGAGTATGATTTCTCTATTCACCCTGTTGTCTTTTATGTTACTGTTTGCTAATGTTTCTTTCCTTTTTCTCCTATCGTTCATAAGATTTTATTACTTTTCCTTCTCTTATGCATCCATATGCATACAAAAATAGACAGATACTTGAGTGTTTGGATGAAAGGATGAAAGCTGTTGTTTCTAGGTCTTTAGTATCGGACAGATAGGCACACTTACACATGTTCACTTAAATAGTTACAAAGGTCTATATGAAAGCTTCATGAACCATGAAAAGGTAGTAAAAGGTATCCATCAATCTTAATAAGTGATTTTATTTAAACACAAGAATCTATCTGATGTATAAATGAATTTTGATTTCTTTTATGGTTTTGACAAATTAATGAAATAAAATATCGACTTTTTAGAGTGAAATGACTGCCTAATTACTATTATTAGTAGCAGTAGTTTTAGCATCCAGTTTCCTACTTGTTTCCCTTCTTTTCTTGTTTACCACTTACTTTTCACTCTGAAACTGATTTAATAGCATTCAGTAGAAGAAAGAAGATTGAAAATCCTATTTATCACCAAGTGATATAGTTATGAAGAGAACAAAACTCATTTCAATGAACCAATTTGTTCTGTTCTCCTCTCTTAGAAATATTTGCGTTACACAAACGAAATATAATCTAGGTGATAGCAGTAACAATCATCTAAATGCCTAAGTGGACTTCATCTATATTGGTATCTTTTGTTAAATGGTATACTAATTTAATTGTTTGAATAGATTCCCTGGAGATGTATAAGAAGCAAAATTCCTTCATTTGTCACTTAATATATTTTAATCTGCTGTGAACTGGTTTGTAAGGTATCATGTAAAGTCAGATCAACATAAAAGTGGACGTTATTGTGATCGTCTGATATACAGATAAATCATAGTTGCTTATAACCTTACAATTTAGACCTTACCTTGATTTTCACTGCCAAATTTAGGTTTTTACGCATTTGACTAGGAGTTTCGAGAAGGTGAACAGTGATGCAATTTGGCTCAAATGTGTACAGAACTGGCTTATGTTAGTTGAAGTTTGGGAAACTGATATTTCTAATTTGCACATACATTAACAGATTCATGATGGAAATGTTTTCAGTCTCACCTCTAGTTTCTTTGTCGATGACAGTTTTCACAAGAATTTAGGGATTTACGTGAGGTGCAAAAAACTTACCACATTGTATGAGCGAAACATTGAAGCGAGAATGATAGTTGATGTTCAGTCTAAAATATACGCTTGATTTTATGAAGTATTAACTCGTTAACAAAGTTCAAGGTCTCGCCAATGGTTTACCAGATTGCAAAAGCATTTGAAACCTCACCTAGTTCACTTGTTTACTTGCCAAAAAGTTGCGGAAAGCCAGGAAAGCAGCAGAACCAGATGGGATTCCACCAGAAGCACTGAAAACAGACACAAGGACATCAGTGAACATGCTCACACCATTACTGCGGAAATTTGGAAGGAAGAAAAAATACCTGCCGCTTGATTGAAAGAAACGCTACCTTGTCAAACTCCCAAAGAGGGACGACGTAAGCCTTTGCAAGAACTGGCAAGGAATCATGGTCTTGTCCACCCCAAGTAAAATATTATGCCGCATCATCCTGGAGAGACTAAAGGATGCGCTGGATTCAAAACCAGTGGAAAGCATAAAATTTCATATTGATTCAAACTGTGTAATTTTTATAATTATGCCCTCTGTTAACAGGACAGTCGATTGATAAGATAAATTCAGACTAGTTATAACAGATTTTAATGTAAATATAATTAGCATAGTAGCAACTAGGTTATATTCGTTTGTAACGAAATGTCTAGATGGTATTGAATTACATCATTTTACATACATACTGACCTTCTCCATTGAAGAACAGATTTAGTTTATACATGAAAACACAGGGACGAAAAACATAATGGCACATAATTACCGGTGAAGTGAGACGGAAGTTGCTGGTTCAGAGGTAGTCCTAATGATTTCAGTGCACAATAACACTATTTACAAACACACAGACTCTGCATACATGTAACTCAGTGTTATTAATTTGGTTAGAACTCTGAAACTTGAGTTCGCAACCTTTATATATATATATATATAGTTATCAAATTATTATATCATTTTTTCCATTGGGTTCCTAGTGGAATATAGGGCTTAAGTAGCACGCCTCCATTTCACTCTCTTCTCTGCAGTCTTTTGAACCTCCCTTCACGACTGCCTACAAGCTTTAATTTCTTCCTCACATGATCCCCTCCATGTCACCCTTGCCTCGGACGCTCAACTCGTCGTATACGCTTTGGATTCCACTCGAGGGCCTGGCCTGACGCGTGATGTCTCCAATCGGCCTTCTCACTGAATGTCCAATCCAATGCATCTCCACTTTCTTTTGCGTATATATTAGGTAATAGGTTCTTAGTTGGTTCATTGTTATAGTTGTTTGTTGCATATTCATATTATTCTGGCCATCTGATCTTCAGTATCGAGTGCTTGTAGGCAGCTGTTGATGAATATATATATATATATATATATATATGCATGCTCATTTTGCTTTCTATTTGTCTACCAGATTTTTTGTGGGTATACTGAACATCTCACCCTATTACTTAAAATTGTTGAAAGACTGACTGACTGACTACTTTTCAACATCCTTGTGAGAGTAAATGCTCTGGATTCAACTCAACGCATAAAGTCATGTTTCTAAGAAGTATATTCTACCGTTTTCGCATAATTGGGGCAAATACAGGCAATCACGTTCCTTAGAAAGACTAAAATTATAATCTACAACTTTTTATTTTGTATTGTTTTCATCCTTCTTTCGAAAGAGTTTTTCACTTTGAGAGACAGTGTACTTCCTTAAGACAAGCAGAATTTAAAAATAAATACAGAAAGAAGACAGAAGGGTGGTAATGAGCTACTCATGTCTATAAACAGTAATTTCTAACATTTTCACTTATTTTGAAGACAAGCTCATTAGAGACTGAACTGAATGAATTCTGCCTATAAATTCAAATTCCCCATACTAACTTGATATAACTTAGAATACCGAAATATTGAGAACAAATTGGCAATTTATCTTGATGTCTGAATATAGAATGCCTAAATTCTGACAACTTGAAACAAAGCAGAAGTTGGAAGGGGTGTTTTTCTCAATCAAAATGAGATATCGGTTAGAAATTCAAGCATCCATAAAAATTTCTGTTTGATCAGGTTATCTATTTTAACTAACAACTAAACAAATAGTTTATTTCCTAGCCATAAAGATCCTTAAAGATGTCATCCGCTGCTATGGATGAGAAGTTGAATAGAAAACTGTATATCTGAGCTCATAGGATTGAATACAGACATGCTAGAGGGATATCATCTATGACCTTTCAATAAATTTCATTTGTACTCCTTATTTTCTCCTGGTTATACCGACTCTTCATTAGTTCATTCATTACCATTTATTCGGAATACACCACTATATTGTTAAAGTATTACGGATGCAACAAAGAAAAGTTGAAGTCCTCAGTGTTAGCATAGCTTTTTTAAGTTTTATAAGCACACATAAAATATGACCCAGTCAACGGTTTTCACGTTCGACTGATATGAAGATCGTTGATTCCAAAGTGAGAACTAATGTACCAGACGAATTTGATCTGTGATCTTTTAAAGTAGAAAAAAGTGAAATGAATAGGACATTTCGCATGCTAATGACCAGAAAGTGATTCTGGTGTTACTAAAGAATCAAAAAGCTGCTATAAAGGTTTCTGCTTAGAGTATCATCTACAGTGACATAGCATAACCTAAGGTCTGTATAATGTAATACCGAGCATTGTATTCATGCGGATTATCCTGATCCTTTACTAGACTCTTGTTACTTATTCATTATTATGGATTTTTAGTTTGTACTGCTAAAAATAACTCGACTTACTTTGTCAAAAAGAACAGCACTGTTTGTCTACAAGATATCGACTGCCATCTCTACATCACTGTAAGTCAAATGCTTTGGCAGAAAAGTTTTCGCAAACACTCGAGTGTGTATTGGCGAAAGTAAGTTCAAGTAACTTGGAAGAGCCAGAAAAATGTGGCCAACTTCCAGCTTTAAAACCAAGAATATATGGGGACTTAATGATATTTTCATCTCAGTAATGAGTGAAAGTTTTAACCTAGAGACAGCTATCTATGTGTGCAGTGATAGCTACACCTGTTTGGCTGACAATCTGCTACAGGAGGTTTGTTGTAATTATTATTATGAATGCAAAGTACAAAGTATTCTACTGTTTATATTAACAGTATCGGTGTTATGATCTTGAAAGACAAGCAGAAATAACGAAAGTTTCTAAATAACATTCCAAGGAAGAAAAAGATGTTTTGATGTTAAGTATCTGAAAGATGAATCAAAACGGGTTTCGGTTTCCATATCTAATGAAAATCACTTGATAGCAATCGATCATTGCATAACGTAATAAAATATTGTCTGAATTAAACTTATTAAGCATGTAAAATGTTGAGATGTAAAAGAACAAGAAGAAGGACTAAAATAATACTAATTTCCTGGTTTTGAGCGAAAATAGAAAGCTTATGATGATACAAAGTTAACGTCAGGTCTAATAAATTAACGTTTTAATCCCAAATTTCACTTAAAGGTCCAACTTGGTATTCAGTGGGTTCTTTGTCTGCTACCGATCAAATTGTGATTACTTTTGCACTAATACTGTTTTCTTTCCATTTTGATTCGAGGACAGTCTTATAGAGAAAGATGTTATCACTTAGTGAAGACGGTTTTTGGCCATTTTATTTCATATAAGTCCACAGCCTAATCACGTAATAGACCTGTAGTCTTTCACGATGATTAACCATACTTGTAGTTAATCGAAATACTTCCTTAATTGCCTTTCTAATCCTAAGCAAACCGTCAATTTTCATGATTCCATTCTAGTTACCGACACAATACAAACATACAGTAGCAAATTCAGTGTACCAGAATGCCACGCTACCTACCTTAGTGGCCACACTGCAAACTGTCATGAAAATTTAGGACTTAGTATTACATTGGTTACCATCAGGTGACTGATTCGTTGAAAATAGTTTTACAAGTAGGCATTCAATATTGAGATCGACTGAATATATTTCAGTAAAGGATCGTGTGTAAGCTTTCCTTTATAACTTATCCTTAATTGACTGATGGAGATGCTAACCTTAACCTTGAGTCCATACGCTTATTACTGCATCAAGATATGTGATATGTTTAAAAATTGTCAGTCAGAGTATTCGACGTTTAAGCATACAGGATGAGTTGATATGTTAAATGTTAGGAAAGCATCAAAAAGCTTTAAAAATCTGTGTCAAGCTGTTCACGGCTTAGTGAACAATAATTAGCATCTGAAGTGGATGAGTGAAAGTCATTTTTAGGAAGCTTCATTAATCTGGTACATTTGTCTGTTTACCTTATCTCGACAATGTCATTTTGACCTTTATTTTCAAGTGAATTAAGGTTTTATTATTATGGGATTCAGTAGGTGGAAGAAAGATTTTAAAACTTGTAGGTAAGATCAATTATCAAGCATTTTAGAGTCAAGAGAGAGAGAGACAAAGCCAACATGAATTTCTCTTTATTAAGAATTAGTGATCATTTCTTTTCGAATTTCTGTTGCAGATTATAACTCCGTCAGAAAGGTTCAGTGTGATACAATAAATCCGTTTGAATGTTTTTGTGTTCTATCAGCTCTGTGACCACCATTATCCATACGTGGCAAAATTGTTCTTCACGTAGACTTTTCCTTTCTTTTTCGTAATCACGAAGACAAATGTTAATTTGCCTAGTTGTAACTTAGATATCTTCAAAGATGACTTGGAGCAATTCGTTAATCAAACAATGAAACGTAGAGATTAACAGCTTGTAAACTTCTTTTACTCACCCGTTAAATTTCCTGGAATAGGATCTGACTAGGTATGTCTATGTCAAAGTGTAACCTTAGGTATAATGGTTTATTTTAAAAATTTCCAACATCAAGTTTTCTACCTATTATGGTGGTGTTCCTAATCTTTGTATAATCACTTATTCTGTAGCTGATCTCACCATTATAATTTATGCAATCCTCTTGGTTGCTATTGTTATCTGACAAATTACCCTGGCTGGTTTATAGCTTATATATCCATATGTAAAGCTATGTATATCACAGTCAAGTTTAACACAATCTAATTGAAAATAATATTATTCGCT